CACGCGCGCACGCAAACGAGCACATGACACCCCATCGCGGGGCCCTAGGTCATGGCAGCCTTCAGAAGCGCGCTCTGTTTTCAGCCGCACTGAGATTGACGCCTTGTCATTGTTCCACCGGTTGGCGCGGTCGTCGACGCTAACATTGAAGACACAATCGCAACCGGAGAACACGACAAGAGCTCATCCTGTCGCGATAACACGAAAATTCAACAAAAGACGGCCATGGTGCCATGGACCACGGGGTTGACCATGGCCACAATTAGGCACTGGCAACGCTGCAACGCGTAGCTACTGCTGCTGCTGCTACGTACTGCTGCGGAGCTGCCGTACCTACCTGCCGGTTCTTGCTTTCGCTGCAGTCATCCACGTCAACCAACATACATGGATTCTCACACCGAACTTCCGCACGAATCACACACCTGTTGCTACCGTTTCTGTCTTAAACCCGGAGATTAGCTTTGTCTCCCCCATGCCGCCCCCTCACGAGGTCCCAGTTTTATGTGTTTTCAACCGCACTTGAGACATTGGTCAGCCGGTTAGCGCGGTGGACGCTATTAACAAACGCACACACATCCAACACCCTCGTACTGGCGTCGTGGTGACACGATCACGATCACGATCGATCATGGCTGCGCGTTCCATTATTAGTCACGCACCTGCCGCTGCCCGATTGGCGAGCCTCTCTGTCTGCCCGCGTCTTCCGCTTGCCGTAACCGTCCACATTCTCCCTCGCCTGGTCCTTCTCTTTCCGCCTCACCTGAAAAAAAAAAAAAGGCGAAAAAAAAAACTAAAAAACAGCAAATACACCGTATCATGCATTTTTCGTGAAGGGACTGCCACTACTAGAGGGCGACCGGAACCACTGAACAGGTCAAGGATTATATCCATGAAACACCGCTGTCCCACGGAGGCTGGTGTGCTTCATTCATCATTCATACTCCGGCCGCCTTCTATCCACCTGAGCTCGGTAAACAGCCCGTTGTCCGTGAATGCCAACATCGACTCAACGCTGCACACGGAACGCGTCATCACCTACACAAGCGAATCTCGGAGGGAGATGAGAACGCAAGGCTCTGTAAAACAGAGAGACTTGAGAAGTTGACCATATGAGCAGGTGCTTCATCAAGAGCCATACAAGGAAACTTAAAGAAGTATAATACATCGTTGATGCTGTGTTCTCCCACATGGGAAACACAAGAAACGAGCATCGGTGAAAGTAAGAGGCTCTCTACGCTGCTGTGGTTGGTGCATCTTGTAAAAGCGTAAAAAGCGTGCCTGGTTGTAGTACTCCAGAGCGAACCGGAAGCTCTTCCCCTCCTTCCTCAAGACCGAGTTACGGTCCGAGATGCTCATCTCATTCGCCAGGATCTGCCGAAAGAGCAAGCAGTGGGAGGGATTTGTCGATAATACATGTGACCCTAAAGAGCGAGAAAATTCTTGAGATCAAGGGAAGCACGTTCGTAGAGGCGGTCCAGTAACATGTAGCCATTACCGCAACCCGACTTTATCTCACCCAATTCTTGAGCGTTGACACGCGAAACAAAGTTGGCGCGAACCGGAGGGTGCCGAAAAGGCATCGATATCTGGTTTCAAAAAAATACTTCGGGGGGGG